TTTCGCTTTTTAAACATATATTTTGAATGAACGCCCACGAACATCCACGAACACAAAGAAGAAAGGGTAAGAACACCCAAAAAAGTCCGCCAAATCCATCTTCAGGTTATTCTGGCCTGAGGGTGTGGTGTGGCGATCATTCTTTGGGTGTTCGTGGACGATCATGCAAAATATATGTTTAAAAAGCGAAACTATAAAAAGTTTTTTGGGTGTTCGTTAGACGTTGTTATACTCAGCTCGACGAGCTCTATCGATTGGCTAGCTCAGATTTTAATTTGGGGGTGTTCGTGGGTGTTCGCGTCTTTTAGCAATACCCAGTCAATAGGGATTTGTTCATATACGTTTTGTAGAGCTTTTCATGGCGCATCGTTTAACAAGAAAGTCAAGATTTTAACATTTTCTCAAGCCGAGATATGTACGAAATAAAAAATCTTGCAAACATTTTGCACACTCGGTAGCAAAATCACGCAGGTCTTTAGTTTTAACCAACTAGAAAAATCATCAGAACAAGTCAATAGGGCTTCATAGAGTCAATAGGACTTCATAAAGTCAATAGGGGGTCATAAAGCTTTTGTAGAGCATTCGACGGCGCACCTTTTGAAAAAAAATCAAGGTGTTAGCATTTTCCCAAGGCGAGATATTTGCAATATAAAAAAATATCCTTATTCTGTTAAATACGGTGGGACATAGCATCATCATCTGATCTATTCATTTTGAGTATAGGAGACACCATCAGAACAAGTCAATAGGAATTTGTTATTACTGTTTTGTAGAGATTTTCACGGCGCATCTTTTAAAAAGAAAATCAAGATTCTCACATTTGTCTGTAGTGAGATATTTGCAAAATACTAAATGTTGCAATCATTATGTCTCATCCGGTATGAACTTTTAATTCATATGCCCATGTATGAAAAAAAATCTCGAAAAACTCCACATCCATGACAAATTAAAATACAAAATATAGGATTTTATGGTGCTTGAGTAGCTGATTCGAATGATATATTGTTCGTTATATTTGAGCAAAAGGGTTTGAAGAAAAAAAGAATGTAAACGACCAGATTACATTGAACTAGCATCAGTTTTAGAAGAAATATTTATAAAAAGTCTATTAGATAGAAATTTTTTTCTTCCTTTTTTATATACATAATAACTATGAATAATTGTGCCTCTTAATACACTTGAAACAAATTTTTTCTCATTATTCCTGAATGGCTTCTGAGATTATTATAACCGAAAATTTTTGCCAAAGGTCAACATTAAAAAGAATTCTTAGTTTCATCAATATTCATAAGACCGTCGAAATTTCTTGAAGATACATAGTACTCAACGTACTCTACAAACTGGCATAATTTCAGGCCAGATACATTTCAGACGACAACATTAAAATAGCGATCAGATTAGAATGATTTAGTTCAAGTAGCATATGATTATAGTTCCATTTATATTGTGATATACGATCGATATCAAGAGAAGTAGAACGTACATTTTTTCGGCCCACTTTGATACTGTAAGTATAGCTTTCTACTGTATCTACTATTCAAGTTTTGTATACGATTAAAACAAATTAATGCTATACTTTTTGTCGGTGAAATGAGAAAATTAATTAGCCATTCGATGAATCAAGAATTTATCTGGAAAAACGTACTATTCCTTGCTCTGTCTTTTTTTGTTGTTATACTTTTTACTTTATCTTCCTTTGCTCTTATTTTCATTAGACCATGTTCTATTCTTTAAATTTGTTTCTGCACACATAAAATAAAACTGAGATAGATTTTAATACCACGTGGTATATCTTCGTTATCCATAAAATGTGTTCTTCCTGCATAGATACATTAATGTAAAAAGTTTAATGTTGACTCTAAATCACCTTCTAATCCAAATGTTTTGACTAATTCTTCCGATACATGAAATCGACCATTGGTAGAACATTTTAAATAAGCAACCTGATAACGAAATGGTTTATCATACCCAAACTCCTTAATGAATCGGTTTTCTAGACCCCCTATAGAAACCACTTGGAGATTTCAATCATTTGTACGTTGAAATCTAAGATGTTTTTTTCTTAGGTGTGTGGTATTTGACTAAGTTTCACTCGAATTTTCGTATTTTTATTCGAGGATGGCAGTTCTTTTAGAGCGAAAATCTATTGATTTTGAAAAAGTTCAAGATTTCAAGAAAAGAAACAGTTGAATATAAGAGACAATTGAAAAATTATTTTATCTTTCATTAGAACAATCCCATAGGTTTACAAGATGGACTCTGAGTATCTCTGCAGTTCTGCTCATAGTTAACAAATGTCGAGTTCTGCTCTAAACAGATTTAGTCGACAACGAACGTTAAAACGATGCTTGGTAATACAGTGGACGCTTTCACATAGAATTTCTTTTAGTGTAACCCGCATACAAAGGCAATTGAATAGTAGCAGTTGTTCGTCCGATGCTTGACACTGCAATTTGTATGAAAAAGTAGTAATAGCCTTCGTTTCATTCTAAATAACTTTTGAACGATCATACATTTTAAGAGACAGTTTTTTGCTAAGCGATTGATAATAGATTGATGCATCTTTTCCTCACGACTTTGTAATCAGTCTTGAAGGTAGAGTCTTCAGAAGATTGGGCAGAAAACTAATTTATATCACCACATGCTTCTGTAGAAAGATTTTCTGATTTTTCTATGGGTAAATTAAACGCATCATAAGTGATTTATGAGTAGATAATGGATTTATTAATAACACAATAAAGCTTGAATAAACTTTAAAACTTAACACATATCATTCTAAACTCTTCTAGTAAAAATTGGTATTCCAATCTGGTCTGAATATAATATTGACTGCAACATATACGTTCGTATTCTTCTCAAAAATTATAGGCATTAAAGTTCTTTCATACTAAATTTCACATATACTTGTAGTCTTACACACATTTACAAAAAACATATTAGATATTAAAAGCTAAAAAGATATATAACGGTTAAATGAACTACTGTTAAATAAAATAAATAAATTTAAAGAATAATTTAAAGTTTTGATTTTATGAATGATCCAGTTGTGAGCAAAACGACAAGAGTTATAATAACCGAAAAACGATTAAAGATGGCTTGTCCACCACAATATACTTCCGTATTTCCATCGGCACCTGGTGCTGTACATAATGCTGGAAGTTTGATCGAACATCCAAGACTGTTACAAGTCGAGGGTGCTTGACAAACGGTAGCAACATCGTAGGAACCACTTGGTGTTGATGATACTTTACATCCTTTTGTTGTACAACATTTACAAAAACATTTGACACCTAATGCTGGTTGAACATTAATAACTACTAATAAACATAAGAGTAATAATACGATAAACTTCATATTAATTTAATGTGATAAAATCTAGAATAGATATATCAAATTTATTTTCTTTCAAAATTACAGTATATCTGCTATATTTCAATTGCACAAATATTCACATTGAACGAACTCATACATGTCAGTTCTTTTAGGACATGTGTGTCACAAACTAAATGATGAAAAAAATTGTGAACATAGATTCTATCCAAATAGACAGTTCTGATTTCACATTATTCTGACATTATTTTACCTTACAAAAAATGACTAAACTTGCCTGTTATTCATAAACACTCATTCTATAAATTTTTCAGTTCAATCGTCTTATATAAATGTTAAAAGAAACATGGATAGTGAAAATACAAGTTTTGCAAAACATAGAAAATACATGTACACGGCAAGAATAAAAGTGTCTTGGAAAACGTTCACGAATAAACATAGTAAAAAATAGCGTCGACAACAATACGCTCACAAAATATTTATCCAAATAGAAGCGTTAAGTGATAAGCATAGTTTCCAAGTGCATACTTTATAGATGAATCGTTCTATTGCACTACTTTATTTCGGAAGCAATTGATTTCTTGCGATAGTGGATCGTGCCAGCAGGTCAGGTCTTTCCGAGTATAGTGCAAACTAAACTGAGTCAAATATTATTTGAAAATCTCTTCAAATTTTGTTTTTTCATGTGATTAAAAACATAAGAAGAAATTCGTCCACAAAAAAGGGTTCAGCAGAAAAACGTTCCGTAAAAAAAGTATATTAAGATATGACGAAAAAATCCGGACAACTTCTGGACACTTTTATTTTTTGCTGTGTAGTTTTCATTGATCCCAAATGAATGTAAGTAATGGAGATTTTTTTTGTTCTTAAAAGAACAGAAAAATATTGAGTTTTTCAGTTTCATAGACCCCTATTTGGAATATCTGCTCTCTGAAGAACACAAGGTCAAACAACTCTTTTTAGAAATTATTTATAGTTTTTCTTCTTTTCAATATTCTCTATTCGATTCTTCATCAATACGACGTTCTTTTGATTATATATGGTTGTAGTATTTCTTTTATACTACAAATATAGAACACAAGAATCGTTATTGACAATAGTAGAATTGGTCGATCGATGCACATTTCTGAATTGTTGTTGGTTAGATCATTTCCATCTGTGATTGACAAGAACAAATTTGACTTCAAATTGTGTATAATCTTATGAATAAATCTTTTGTAATAAAATATCATGCACTATCACCTACCCATATCAAATTTAAAGGATAATAGCATTTTTAACTCGAGTCTCAAACATGAACTGCAGTAAATTTAATGTCCTAAAAAGTGATGTGCCGAAACTGAGTTTCTAGAAGCTGCTCTTCAGGATAGAAAACGGTTTTTTGTATTATAAAGCGTAGTTTACGCTGTTTCACTGTAAAAGAAGTGTTTTTGAAAGTTAACTTTACAGAGAAAAATATGTCAAATTTAGTTTCCTACTTTTGATCTGGTAAGTCCAACTTCATACAATTTGATCTTCAGTGTTTAAAATACAAAAAACCGCTTTCTATCCTGAATAGCTAGAAACTTCTAGAAACAAAGTTTCGGCACATAATTTTTAGGACATTAAATTTACTGCATTTCATGTTCGAGACTCAAGTCTCAAAAATGCTTCCGTCAATGTGAAAAACGCTAATTGAAGTTATTAAAAAAATTGTTTTCGACATCAGTATTCGTTAGTGTCAGTATTCGTTAGTGTCAGTATTCAGTATACTGATACTGGTGTATACCTGATACTATGAAGGTCTTTTCTTTCAAGTAGTGACGTGCCTTTTAATTTGATATAGGTAGGAGATAGTGCATGATATT